TCTGCTGGCCTGGGAGCACCATCATGGGATCCCCCCAGATCTATGGATCAGATCAGAGTGCTGCAGCTGCTGTAGTCAGCAGACTGCTGTGCTGCCACCTGCTGGTGTAAAGTGGTACCAGAGAAACTGGACCTGATGAGATAAAACAAACCCAGAACTGAACATTCAGTCAGTCTGTTGGCTACGATCACAGCTTCTGGAAGCTTCCATTCTATATAAAGTCTAGTTTTCATGTTCTATCAGGAAGATGTTTGGTTTATTGCTTATTTAATGACTGAAGCACAAAGCAAGCAGCTGCTGTGATCTCACTGATTCATGAAGCAACAGCTGCTCCTCCCACAGCTAGAGGCAGCCGTCCCAGAGGTCAAAGGTCAGAGGTGTTTTATTTTGCAGTCAGAGGACATGGTTCCCAGGCAGTGACCCAGCAGATCCAGCAGGGGGCAGCAGCCCCATGCAGACAGGAAGGCGGTGCTTCTGAGGCTCTCTCTGTGCTCTGCAGGACGTGTTGATGCGGGTGGTGGGCAGGGAGGGCTTCTTCTCGCTGTGGAAGGGCTTCACGCCGTACTACGCCCGCCTGGGGCCGCACACCGTGCTCACCTTCATCTTCCTGGAGCAGATGAACCGCCTCTACAAGACCTACGTCCTGGACCGCTAGGAGGACGGCGGCGGCGCCGGAGCTACCGGACTGGAGGTCCTGATGATGATGATGATGATGATTAGAGACTGGAGGTTCTGGAGGGAGGAGAGCTGGACCTGCATCTACACACTCCCCCCTCCCCCACACACACACACTCTGATGGTAGAGTTCTCTATGGATGGACCCCCCCTCCATCCACCAAGCTGATATCCTCCCCATCCATGGTTGCCATGGTTACCCAGCGATCAATAAATGTTTCTATCCTCAGACTGTGTGGGCGTCTGATCTACCTGGATAGTTAATGAGGAAAAGTTTAATATTTAGGTTTGTTTGTTTAATATTATTATTTTACATGAAGAACTACGGAGATTATGTTCAGATTAAACATTCTTCACCTGCTGCCAGATAATCTGAGCTGAATTCATTGATCTGCTGCCATTCTTGAAATAATCCTCTATTATCATGATCACAGCTCTATGGCAAGCTGTTTGATATGTACTAGTTTAACTGAATATGCTTTCCTGATATTGTCTAAATGATCATTTTAAAACAAATGACGAGTTCCACATCTAGAATAAACATTCTGCATGTCTAGAAATTAATTTCAGATCTCCATGTTCCTATACGGTCAGCATTTGTACTATTTTAACTGAAGAAAAGTTTTTCTGTTAGCATAAATATTCAGTCAAGCTGATGAATGTCGGAATGGCCTCTTAAAATGTTTAAACATTTCTAGCTTTATAAAACTAGTAACTAAGTAACTCATTTAGTTACTTTATGAAATTCTGTTTCTGCAAAAATGTAATTTAGAAAATATATTATTACAGTTCAGTCTAGGAGTGTAATATTGATCAGGAAGGATCTTATTTTATTGATCTACAAATGCAACAACAGAGAAGAGAATGCTGTAATAAATGGTAAATGAGCTTGCCATACCTGCTTTGTGACATGGCTGATATCAGAGAACTGATCCAGGAGCAAAATAAGTCCTGATCAATGGATCCCAGAGACCAGGATCTACCATGGAGACAGGAGGGAATATTAATGAGAGAAAATGTAGAAATTATAAACAGATTATAAACTAAAGTGTTTCTGTCAGA